TAGAAAAGAAGGAAAATATGACATGTTGTATTTAAAACTTTAAGAAACACCCTTCCTTTCTTTCTTCTTTCCTCCCTCCCACCTTCCCTCCTTCTTTCCCTTCTTCCCTTCCCTCCATGTTTCTCTCTTCTTCTCCTCTCTCTCTCTCTCTGGAGGGAGGTTTTCCCTTCTACTTCCTGCCAGCTTCAGTTCCTCTGAGATCCTTGTGTAATCCCCACCCCTACAGCCCCATCCATAATTTTTTTAAATAAATTTGCACTTTAAACAAATAAATAAGCACATGTTTCTTCCCTCTTCCCCCTGAAAGATGGGTGGGTGGACAGGAAAGCCAGGTTAGAACTTCTGAGTAGTAGAGGCTGACTGCGCCCCTTCCCCTTGGTCTCAGCCAACCCCATATCGAGCCAACCCCATGTCCTCACGACCCACCTCCGTGACTCTGCTAAGGTTCCCCAGGAAAGGAGGGAGGGAGGGAGCCATCTCTAACAGAAGACGCTGTCTGGGCCCAAATCCAGCCACATCACAAGACGGGAGGAGAACATCACAGTGGCTTCCATGGCCAATGGGAGAGGCTCTGCCGGCTCATGTTCAGGCCAAACAGATGGCTTGGGACAAACGGGTGGTGCTGGGCGTGGTGTGGGGTGGCTCGAGTGGCCTCAGCTCCCTCTGCATCTCAGGGAAGGAGGCGAGGGAGGGGAAAGCAGGGCCTGAGGAAGGGGTAAAGTTTGTAACCTTGCAAACTTGTAGTGATGGTTTTTCAGCAGTAGACCATGGCAATATCCAAGGCAGAGAAAGAGGAACCCCCCCTGGCCCCCCAGGAGGGGCGAGAAGCCCAGAACCTTTCAGCCACATGGCAGCCCCCTCAGGGAATGGTGGGTCTCACAACAGTCACCTGTTCACACGCAGTCTTTATATAAAGTCATGTGTGAACTCAACATGGTCTGTCTCCTCTTTGAGCCCCTGGAGTGTCGGTGCGGGGCGGGGTGGGTGACAGCGGGTTCCAGAGGCCTGGGACACACCAGGCAGCCAGCCAAGCTCGAACCTGAGATGCTCGCCCTGTTCCAGTAGCGAAGTCCTCTTGCTTACTCCTTACCAGCCAAGCCCTGGGGCCATGGCCAAGGGTAGAGAGATGGGCCAGGGCATGGGTGGGCCAAAGGAACCTGAGAGGGACAGGAGTTTCAGTGGCCTGGTCTCCGAGCCTGCAAGGCTCCTTTCCAGCAAGAGAGCTTGGAACTCAATCTCGGCCTCCCTCCTCCCCTCCCCATAATCGAGCTGCCTTACCCCAAGAGGTCCACATGCAGCCACCTTTCCTAACCTTCACAGAGATGCCAGGAAAGGAATGACTCCCACTGCCCCCACCACACTTCAGCACCGGTTCCTCAACCAGCGGGACCCCATATGCTACAGCATTCGGATTTAGTTTCCTTCTCGCTCTTGCTTCTAAATCAGCATACATTAATTGTACAAGGAGGAGTTCATTCTAAGAGTCCCACAGATGTCTAACTGTACCTGGAACAACTTCACTGCCTCTCTTCGCCTTATACTCCCTAACTCCCTTCCTCCTCCCTCCTTTTTCAAATGGTATTTGGTGGGTTTCATTATGCTATATTATATATATACTGTATATATAAAAAACTTTAATCCTGTTCACCGCCTCCAGTACCCTCTCCTTTCCCCTCCTCCCCTCTGACATCCCCCCTCCACGTAGTCTCCCCGCTATGCTTGAGTCCTGACATCATTATTACTGCTTTAGTTCTTTAGACAGCAGGCCTGCCCTAGGCAGTGGGGTACTGTAGGCAGGCATTGAACAAGCTGGGTAGAAAACTTTATTCTGAGTTTGCTTATCTGATCCTCCCATCAGGCATTCAGAATACTTCCTCTGCAGGCCACCTGTGAGGATTAAATGAGCTAATATGTGTCAAAGCCCCAAACAGGAGCTCAGTTTAGAAGCAGATCTATATAGAGGAAGGGTTTGGCTTAGTCCCTTACGTGATGTGACCTCACACATCAGCTCTAGTTTTCTCATCTATAGATGAGGGCCTTGGTTGCACTGGTTTTTTAATCCCAGAACTCAGGAGGCTGAGGCAGCAGGATTTCAAGGTCAAGGTCATCCTGGATACATTGCAAGACCCTGCCACAAGAAAACAAAGTAGTTTTAAAATTAAGGGGCATGCATATTAGTAGCTATACTTTCACAGATGCTAAGAAATAGAAGTAATTCTCATAACTGTATTTAAGAAAGAGCCTGGCATAAAGAAATACTCAATATAAGGCAGTAATAGTTGCAATTACTACTACTTTACTATTTTTATTATTAAATTGCAAGGGCAATGTGGTTTTGCTGTGAGAAGGCTAATTGCTTACAGTTTATTTCCAGTTCACTTACTGGAGCTGTGCACCTTCGAACAAGGTGCCTCCATTTCGTTCCCTGTACAATGGGAATAAATAAAAATTGTACCTACCTTGTGGAACTGCTGTGATCATTAAGATTTTTTTTTTAATGTGGAGTGTTTTGAAAAGTGCCTGGCAAATAGTAAGTGCTACACAAGTAGGCTCTGTAAAAGCATTCATTTTGGATCCACTTAAGAGACCCATAACTCAACAACAGATCCAGCTGAAGGTTTAGCCTCTTCCATGCTGGGTGACCTTGGGAAAGTCACCTCACTTGTCTGAGCCTTCTTTCTTTTTCCTCCTCCCTTCCTTCCTTCTCTCCTTCCTTTCTTCCTTTTCTTTTTTGGGGCTTGAACTCAGGACCTACACCTTGAGCCACTCCACCAGCCCTTTTTTTTTTGTAACTTCGAGTTAGGATCTGGAGAACTATTTGCCCCTGCTGGCTTCCAAATGCAATCCTCCTGATTTATACCTCCTGAGTAGCTAGGATTACAGGAGTGCGCACGGGCGCCCGGCTGAGCCTGCTTTCATTGATCTACAAAATATGAATTATAATAGTGCCCATAATAGTACGTTGAGGGATGTTTGGCTGCATTAATGAAGCATGAGCCATTGAAGTTCCTAGTTCCCAGTTAATTAGACCCCCACTTCCCAGCTACCTAAATCCGGCCCGGCCCCACCCGCGTCCCTCCCAGCGCACGCGGAGGGGGCTGCGGCCGCGCCCACTGCCAGGCCCTATTTCTGGGGGACCGAGCGATCCCGAGGCCTTGCCAAGCTTCCCCGGGGATCGGGTTTCTGCTGACGCGGTGCCAGGCACGTCTGCTTCCAGGAACCGGCAGCCGCATTTAGCCGCGGGCCGCACATGAAAGGCTGCAGTCGGAAACGTGACGTTGTGTCAACAGGCACAGCGGGTCAGCGCCGGGTGAGACCATCCCGGCAGGCCCGCCGATCACGCCCTGTCTGAGGGCGGTCAGGTCCCAGGCCTCCACTCCCCTGCCTCCCGCCACCTCTCCTTGGCCCCAGAGCCCAGGCTTCACCCCTCAGCTCTCACACACCCCTTTTTAAACAGGTCCTCTTTGTGTCCAAAGGGCGGAAGGCTGGGGTGCAAGCCCTCCCCCGCACCCGCACCTCCCTTTGGGCGCCCTTGGATCCTGTTGAAACTGGGCTAGAAGCAAGGTCAAGGGCACACTGGGAACTGAAAAGGAGTCAGAGAGAGACTGCTGCAATTTTGGTGGGCTTGATGGAGCAGACTCCAGTAGGGCGTGTCTGGATTGATTTGTGTGTGTGGACCCTCTTTTTTTTTTTTTTTTTTTTTAGTTCAGGGTGCTCCCACCACTTCTGCTATCGCCACAGCTACTCCTTGAGTCCTGGCCTAGGAGAGAGAGACATGCGAAGAGTTCGAGCCTGACTTCAGCTCCCCGAGGCTCCATCACCAGGATAAACTTGGTTGTTTGGACTTTCACCAAAAAAGTCTGGCTAGAAAGGTCTGGCAACTTGTGAAAGAATTCAGGGACTTAGCAGGCAGAGAGATCTGCAAGTGTGGGGTGGGTGGAGCTGGAGGGGGGCGGGACTTACAGGATTTGACACCTGCCTGTCATAGGATATGTTTTATCTAATGGAAACAGGTGTGAAGGGGGTGGTGGTAGACCACCAGGCTGGGCTTCTTGTACCCCTAGTCCCAGGCTCCTTCTACAATACCACAGTGGCTTGGGAGCAATTGTGCATTTTTATTCAGCTACAGGAGCCAGAGAAGGTGACATTTGAAGCAGACAATCCTAAGGGGCAGGTGATGCCTCTGCCTGGACGAAAATTCCCCGAGGGTGACTTCCCTGCAGGGGCTCCAGACAGCCAGACGGTTATGGACAGTTCAGATGCTCTGGAGGCTGGATCATGTCTGGCCAGGGACTGGCCACCAGGAAACTTCAGGACACCTCTGAGGGGAAGGAATACTGCAACCAAGGTGAAGGGGAGAAGCGAAAACGCAGAATCATTTCCCACTTTTCTCATGGAATTTTTTTTTTTTTTTAATAAAAGCACTCGACTAAGAACACCAATATTCACGCACAAACACACCCAAAGAGAGGAAGTCCGGGAAGGATGTAGAAAATAATTATGGAACATTGCCTCCAGCAGCAATCAGACAGGATATGGCAAATCCATTAGAACTTGCTTGATTCAAAAGAGTGTTAGCCTGCCTTGGCAAAGGTGCTATCCCCAGCACCAATTATTATTGCCTAATAATCCATTAATCTTTTCTAAATGTGCCTACCACAGCCAGTTTCCGAGACACTTTGGCCCACGATTTCCCACTTTGGTTTTCTGTCGAGTTCTAAAGATCTCAAAGCAAACTAGGGGAAAATGTAATTTTTGCTCAACTCTGGAAAGAGGCAGAGGGTAAGTGCAAATCCCTGGCAAGGGCTAGTCAAGAAAAGAGTAAAATAAAAAAATAAATCAGTAGCCACCTACTACATTGACTAAGCTTATTCCACTGAATAAAAGGGACATGACAAGCTGCATGAAGCCACACCTAGATACTAGTTGTTGCCTTCAGCCAAGATGACAAGGGACAGCCACATCACACAACCGAGCTCTTTTAAAAATTCTGGAGACCATTTTTCTCTTCCACAGGAAAAGGATTATTTTATTAAGTATTTTAAAACAACTACTTAACATTTACTCATAGATAAAAATATTTACAATTTCACACCTTCAGGAAGGCTCCAAAATATAAACTGTACCTCTCCCTAGAGAAAAAAAAATTCTTCTCTTCAAAAACAGGAATACATTCATTTTTTTCTCACTTTGTAGATCAAGTAATTGTACAAATAAACATCTGAAACATTTTTCCTTTTTAATATATTTATATAATATATAACAGCTTTACAAATAAAGGCAACAACTTTATACCAAAATAAAAACAGGAAAAGAAGTTAAAACACGATTGGCGACTAAGCATAGTGCATTCAGAAAAGCTGGTGTGGGGCTGGCTGGACAAGTCAGGAAAACAAGGACTCTGGATCAAAAATAAAACTTCTTTGAGGGAGACAGAATCCTTTTTTAGCAATAAGGACACTCCATATGCTGTCGGGCAAGAGTAAGATTTAGCCCACGGAAAGGGTCTTGCGGTGCCAATGCTTACTTAGGCCTTCAAGAAGCTAAGCTTGGTGAAAAGCTTAAAAGGTAGAATTTAAAACTGAGTGGAGCTGTGCAATAAAGACAGCAATTGGTTGTTTAGCTTTGTGCACTTTTGGGGTGCTGGGGGCATTTGCATCTTTCAGACCCTCATTTGGTTTCCTGGACAGCATGTTCTAACAGAGACCTAGAAGCAGGTGCCAGAGGCCTGGGGAACTCCGCCCTCATTCCCTGGCAGCTCAGCTTGTACAATGGGGCCATTTTCAGTTCCTTAGTAAGCTAATCACTATGAAAGCCTGAGTAGGGAACTACATTCTCTTTAATCTGAGGCAAGGGCTGGGAGCAGACCTGTGGAAATCTCCCCAAACCACTGCCGTGCCACGCCAGTGTCTGCTACCTCACCACTTTAGCAGAGAAGCTCTGTCTGACCGCTCTGTCCTCTGTCTGGTGAGTCACCTCGACAATAAAGGGAGATGGGTGAGGTTCTAACAGCTGGCTGGGAGCTGTGCTCTGGAAAGCCCTCTTTTGAAAGTACCTTTTGCTCAAAGCCACAGACCCGGCTCCCAAACTGAAGAGTGACTCACAGACCAAGACTTTGAAGCTTTTGAAAATCCAGCTGATTAGTATCAAAGGGGACTATTCTCCAGGAAGGGAAAAGCCCAGAAGGCTGCTTCAATCCCCCCTACCTCTCCTGGTGTCAAGCAATCCTTCGTATCTTCCCTATGCCAAAGAAGCTTTAATGTCCTAAGCCAACACACAGGCACACATGCACACGCGCACACGTGTGCACACACCCTCAGTCTTCTCTCCAGCTCAGATTATCTCGGGATGCACAATGGAACAATCTCGCTGCACTCACAAAAACATCTGTGTGTGTTTTTGGAAGTAGGGAAGAAGGAAAGCAAAGCGGTAGGATCCCCTAAGGAGTCTAGTCTTTGGTTTCTAAGTTTAAAGGGGGAATCTGTTTCAGAGCCTGGAGCAAAGAAGAAGAGTCGAGGGATGGATGTGCCGACAAGGGAGAAGGGAGTCTCTGGGGCAGAAGCAAGGGAGTGGAGATCTTGTCTGGGTTCATGAAGCTTGTGAGGGCTGCAGCGGAGGTGTTGAGGCCTGGATACAACACTGGCACAGAGGTGGGGTACCAGCATTTCTCCAGCATGGGCAGGTAGGCAGTTGCTGATGGTGGGATGAGATAGAAAGGCAGGCAGAAGGGAGGCTGGTGTGGGTGTGGGCCCAGGAATGGGGAGCTGATCAGGTCACTGCTAGTGAAATGGCCTTCATCATCTGACAGCTGCATTCGGCTCTTTTTTGTGGGGGGCTCTTCGGATTCTTGCTTAATTGTGCTGACACGCTCTCCCATGGCAAACCTGCGTCCGTGATCGCCTTTGAAGTACGGCTGCTCGTTGCGTAGGTCGCCCTTCTCTGATTCTCCTCCATAGCCACTGTCTGTGTCTGTGTCACTGCCACTTTGTTCCCCACTTGAGGGAGCGAAAGTCCGCTGGATGACTGGTACACAGTTTTTCCCGGGGCCGTCAGAGCCTTTGCCCAGAGAGCTGGGTTTCTCCTTGAAGTCCATCACTTTTGGAGCTGAGTCCGATGGCTTCCTGGAAGTCCCACCCTGCAGCAACTCGGAGACCACACGGTGGAGGTGAGTGACAAGCTGCGAAGACTTCAGATCCCGGGTGTTCTCATGCTTGGCCAGGTACTGAAGCACCTCCCGGGCACATGTCTGGAAACCTGAGTAGAACATCTCTTGACCTGCTTCAGTGTTTCTCCCTGACAGCTCACCTGGAGAAAAATACCCAAAGGAAGATGTTTCAGAAGGCCCTGTGGTGCACCTGGGGCTTTCAGGTTTTTTTTTTTTTTTCCCATAAAAAAAGCATTTCCCAATTTGTGGTCCTAAGTCCAAAATCTACTCAAGAGAAAGATTGCACCGAAAAGTATAAAGAGTAAAACAAACACAATCCATAATCCTCCCACTCAGGAATGATTTTTTTTGGGGGGTGCAGGATATTGAACCCCACAATATGCTAAGCTCTACCACTAGCTACACCCCCAAGCCCCAAAATTGATTCCTACTAGCTGAATGACAACCCATCATAGTAAATGGGCATTATTAGTAAAGATGGCTTTCTTCCATTCTTGTTGAGTTTGTAGGTTGTTTCTGAATTCATGTTGTAAAGAACACAGTAATGAACATTCTAGTATGTTTATGAACCCAAGAGTCAATTTATAGAACATCACTGTGGCAAAATGAACGAGGCTGGTCATCAAATGCAATAAAGAATGAAAGAATATCACCTAAAGTAAATTTTCAATGACTTATAAAAGGTGCAGTCCCACTATGAACTTCAATTGGCTCCCTAGTTCTAATTCTAGTCCATGTATTCTATCTGTGATCTCTAAGAAATTAGGCCCGATCACCTGCCTATTTTTAGTGAGGAAACTGGCAGAAGCCCTTGTTGGGTTTTTGTGAGTCTCATCATACTGGCCTTGGAAAGGAATGCGGAGAAGAATGGATGAAGGAGTTTGGACAAGATTTCCCCCCTCATCTGTACAGTATTATTTGGAAGGGACGTGACTGGGAGATTAGAAGGTGACTCTAATTCTTTGTAAGTCAGTAGATGTGAATGATGAAACTTCAGTGATTTCATTAGATTGTGCAATTTGCCAAGATACCCAGTGGCTATTCAGGGAACCACAATAAAATGCAGGAAAAACTCCCGCTGTCATCCAGCCAAGATCTCACCCCATGGCGACCGATAAGGAAGCAAAGAAACAGGAAAACACTGGGGCATACCCGTGATCTACTTTCCAATGAGAGAGGGCTGAGAAGACCAATTGTAAAATATCCACGATGCAAATTACAGGTGCCTTGGCATTTTAAAAGGGAAAGGGGAGATCTCCCAGAACCCAGAGACTCTGAAGGCAAAATGCCACATTTTATCATTTGACTAATATGTATTCATGCCAGGTGGCACACAGCAGCACTCCAAATGGAAAGTCTGACCTTTCAGGAAAGATAAAAATGCTTCTCCCCCAGTGAACGTGCACAAGCAATTGGCTGCAGGAATGTTACATCCCAAGATGAGCGCAGGGACTCTCTTTATGCAGAACTCTTTAAAAATGCTAATCGCACGTGGGCACTCACCAGCTTGTAAACCGCTCTGCAGGGCGATGATTTTCTGCTGCTGCTGATCAATTAGGTTTGTTAGTGCTTTCACATGCTTCAAGGTAAGTTCAAGAACTACTGCTTTTTCCAAGTGACCCAAAGTCTAGGAAAAAAAAAAAAAGAGCTTTAGTCAGTGGTGAGGTCAGACACGTCCGTCCTACCTCCGGGACACTTATTAGCAACAAGAGATGACTCTAAAGGGGGGGGACAGGAATAGACTTTAGGGGTTGGCTAAATTTAGTTTTTAGTTTGCAGATCGTGTTCATATATACGATTAAAGAATAAAAAACATGTGTCGCCTATTTTTGGAGGTATTTTGGAAGCTGCAACTACCTCAGGAGAGAGCTCTGACAGATAAATTTCTTCAGCAGCCGGGGCTGACCTTAACTCAGGGGAATCCAGAGATAACATTTCTCTGCAGTGGTGTCAGCCCAGGGAGGGACTTCTACTGTGTCTGGCAACCAAGAGGCTTTCCCTAGCTTTTTTTCCTGACACCCTTTCAGAAATTCCAGCTCATGTAAGCTTTTTTCTTCCTCCTAAAATACTATTTTTCCTTACCCCAAAGACTGCCACCCTAGAAAGCTTGTGGTTACTAACAAGAAAAGACAGGATGAAAAATAAAATCATGCACTAAAGTAAGACCTCTTATTTAAAAAAAAAAAAGGTGGAGAAAGGTTATATAAAATCTTTACTCTGGTTGGTTTGCTCCTTTAAGTCAGGAAAACTAGGGAATCCTAAAAAAAATCACCAGAAGGGAGTCTTAAACTCCTGAAAAAGGAAGCCTAGCTGGTCTGAAGCCAACTTGGAGAGGTCCAAGAGGTTTTCACCTCATTTGCATGAGGCTGCCAGAAAATTTCTGGACTGGGGAAGGGTCCCCCCAACCAGGGCCACCTGCCAGTTCTGATCCAGCCGTCTCGTCTGCAGTTCCCCGCGACGCCTGCAGGCGGCGAATGACCCCCGCCCGCCCTCTGGGCAGAGGAGCTGGGTTGGAGCGGGGCCAGCTTCTCACTTACTGTAAGTTTGAGATGTTCGGGTAGAAGATCCTTCAACTGGGCGATGCACTCGTTAATCCGGTCACGTCTCTTTTTCTCGATGAGCCGGTGCGGCAGTTTGTAGGTCTCCTGCAAGGCGCACCGGGTGGTTGGTGCCTGGGGAAGGGGATGCGAAGCCTCCCTTCCTCCCCGCCCCGAGGCATACGAAAAGTGGGGTAAGGGGGACAGAGTCGTAACCGGAACCACCTTCTGCCCTTTCTTTTCCAAGTCACTCAGTAGTGGCACCTAGACCACCTCTTGCATCCCCCCACCCCCGACAACCTCAAAGCGAGCAAACTTTTCTTGAAAACTCAGCGCGCGCGAGGGGCTAGGGCGCGGGGACCCCAAGGGTGCGTTTACCTTGCTGTCCTCGCTCCGTTTTATTCCCCGCCTCGATTTATACACTTGGTACATGTGGGCAAATTCCATCCTGCAGGGAGAGGGGTCAGAAAGGATCGTGACTGTGTGCGCACAGGCTGCAGGCGCCCTATCGGGCAAGAACTCCCCGGATGCACCCGGAGCTGCTCCAAGTTGAGAGCGGTGCTGAACACCGGTAGAGTGGAGGCTTAAAGGGGCCAGAGTGCCAACTTACCCTGGTAGGTCTCCGTGATCCAGCACTGGCGCTTTGGGCAGGCAGGCAGGGGGTGGTTGCGCGCTGGGGATCCGCTCCATGGCGCGGCGAGCCGGGGCCACTGCGCGCTCCTTTCTGCGCTAGCGGAGCGTCGAGGGTGAGGACTGTCCTGGAGGGGGATTCGAGGGTCTCTCCGCGGTGGTTCCTCTGAGCTGGAGCTCCCTGAAATGCGCCGCGCTGCTGGGAGCTGCGGCTTTGAGGTGTCGCTTCAGTTGGGGGCGTGCATGGCCCGGTGTCCCTGCGGTCTCTGGCTCCGTCTCTGCGCACAGACTGGCGGTGTGTGCTCCCTGCGCTGTCTGCGCGGTGCGAGCCAAGTGAATGAGAAGTGGGGCGGGCGGGGAGGCGGGAGCGAGCGGGGGGAGCGGTTAGGGCGGAGTGGGGGGGGACGGGGGGGCCGAGCCGAGGAGTAATGGAGAGGCTGCGGGCTGGGTTAAATGGGAGCCAGTGGGTGGGTTGGAGCTACGTGTTCTACCCTGTGACTCCAGGCACGTCTGGCCGCTGCCGGGGAGGGAAGGAGCGACCTGCCCGCCCTCCCCCGGCTTCATCACATGAGTCTCACGTGTTGGACAACGCTCTGGTGGCTGTGAGGGAGCCCCCACCCCCAGTCCCGGCCCCCAGGTGTCTGCGGCTGCGGCCTCCTTTCCCCGAAAGAGGGGGTGGCAGCGCAGCCAGGGTCCGGCCCAGCTGGGTGGGGGGCGCGGAAGCTGGAGGGAACCGGGGAGCGGGGGAAGGGGGAGAGTTGGTAACGTGGGCGAACCTGCCCCAGGGAAATGAAGTAAGTTCCCGTCTCCTGGGAGGGAACGGGGGAGGACGGATCCGCCCGCGTCTGACTCAAGCCGGGAGAGGAATATCCCCTCGCTCTCTCCAGCCCAACCCTCTTCCTCCTCCCCCGCCCGGGCCGCTTGGAGGAACCAGCGCGCAGCCGAGGGAGTCGCTGGCCCCCCTGCCTTCCCCAGAGGCTGGGGTTTCTTTCCGTCCCTGTTTCCCTGCCCCCACCGCTCAGCCCCGTATCCAGGAATTGCCCGCCTTGGGGAGGGACCGGGGGGCGGGGCGGATGTCACCCCATGGGAAGCGGGCGTGCGGCCAAGCGCTGGGGCAGCCGAGGCCGCCGCCGAGCACGCTGCGCGCACCTGACCGCGGAGAGTGTGAGCCGCGGGGCCCCTGGCTCCCCCGGAGGTCCTCTCCCGGGCGCAGCCCGCGAGCGGGCGGGCACCCACTTGCGCTCTCCCCTGGGTGCCCCAGTGCCTCCACCCACCCTGGCTAGTGGAGCACAGAGAGATACCGGGCGCGGTGCCCGGCGTTCCCTCCCTCCTCTGCCCCCTCCGGAGCAGAGGCGTCCGGGTCGCCTCCCCTCGGGCTGCAGCGTTACACAACCGCAGCGGCGGCGCCTGCCCTGCAGCAGCGCGGGGCGTGACGCTTCACGTGGCCCGGGCTTGGGCCGCAGCGCGGTGATCTGGGAGCCGGTCTGCGTCGGCCCAGCGGCCAAGACCCCCGGGGATGTGCGGTACCAGCCGGAGTCGGCTCTCCACCCTGCCAGGAACTTAGGCGGCGTAGTTTGTGTCCTCTGTACCCAGACAGGAGAGAAGGATGGGCACTGCTCCTGTCCTAGTGAAACCTCACCATTCATCCAGTCGACACGCGTGTGTTGAGCCCCTTCCCCTGCCATAGACGTCGTGCCCGGTGCTAGACACAATGATGCATCAACCACCTACCCTGCCCTTGAACTTATACAGGAACCTCTGAGAAGGACAGATTGGGCAATGGGAAGGAAGGCAGCCTTGGGGAAAAAGATATATCGAGAAAAGAAGATGAGAAGGTGTTTTTGTTTTATTCTTTCAATTTAATACTAACCAGAGGAAGAAGGTGGAGAAGTGAATTCTCTGGCCCGAGCCTGGGGCAGAAAGAGTATCTCCAAGCTGTTCCCAGAGCTCTGCAGTGTCACTTAGGCCGCTGGAGGGGGGGGGTTGTGTGTGCATCTACCTCCCCCGGAAAAGTCCAGTCGCTGTGACCTTCTAACAGCCTGGATCAGGAAAGACAGCTGAAACTCCAATCCCCACGGTGTGAGCAGCGCTGATACAGTCAGAGGAGGGAGCAGTGGAAATTCATGACTAAAATAAGGCCTGGCTGGGGATTTCACTGACCTCTGCGCTCCCCTGCCCTGCAGGTTCGAGGAGTTGAGAGATGACTGTAAACCTTTCCCACCGCGCCTCGGGTCAGTCACCCCCACTGCTGAGTGACCTGGCTGTGGGAAGAATTGAAAAAATTGGGATCTCTGCTGGGGACTGGGTGATGATTGACATCGTGTGCAGTTGGCGGGGTGGGGGTGGGTCAGTCCTAATTGGCAGTGTCCTTGTCGACTTGGAGAATTGGAATTCACACATTGACCAAACTGGGAGTGTATTTCCTTCAAAGGGCTTTGGAGAGCCCCCACTTCCTGTTTATGTTTCACTAGCGTCAAACCCATTAGCAAGTGTGAGAAATGCCTCCTTTTCTAACTGCTAACTGGCGTGACCTCACTTCGGGCTTAGAGATCCCTCCCTCCCTTCTTCCCTCCCTCCCTGCATGTACTTTTGCTGGCTTCTTATCAGCCATCTCTCTGGAGGGTATGAATGCCCCGCACCTTCTGGCCAGGAGGTGGGCAGTGTGACCAGAGGCGAAGGCGGGGACTGTCGTCTGCCCTGGGTATGTGCTTTCCATCTAGGGTGACCCGCTCCATTGTGCGACTTTAATAAGGGTGAAGCGTTGTCATGACTGCGGCCAAACCACAGTTCCACCAGGAAATAAACTCCGGGAGAGGAAGGAACATGTATCCACTCACTTGTCACCCCAACATTTCCGCTTCCATGGCACATGGCTTAGGACAATACCATTCTTAAAATTACTTGAGTTTATCAGTACGTTCTGCCCTTACTTGCCCCGCACTTGTAAATAGCAAAAATTATGCATTTCCTGCTTTTTTTTTTTTGACAGGCTCAGGCTGGCCTCGAACTGCAGTTCCATTCTCCTGCCACAGCCTCCCCAGGGCTGGGTTTATATTTTTACTTTTTCTACATTTGTTCCAAATATACTCTCAAGTTTCAAAAACTATCCTCATCCTACCATACCTGGATTTCTTGTTAAATCTGTTTTTCTCCTTGCTATAGCTTGCTTTCTTTCTTCTCTCTCTCTCTCTCTCTCTCTCTCTCTCTCTTTTTTTTTTTCAGAACTGCAGAGTTGAATTCAGGGGCCTCCCACTTGCCAGCCAGACACGCTACCACTTGAGCCACTCTACCAGCCCGGTTCATTGCTATTTAGAAAAAATTAACTTCAACAAAGTAATTCCTTCTTAGCATGTCTCTTCCTATCCTGAAGAATCTTACTATTTCAGGTTACCATCTTTTATAGTTCGTTAGTGCTTGCTGTGTACTAGTTTTTTAGGTCATATGTTAAAAACTTTGCATGTGTTCATTTGTTTGCTCCTCACTACCATGGCACAAGTCAGGCACTAGAATCAGCTGAGTTCACTAAGTTCATCTCTTTGTTCAGGACCACTGTGCCAGGCACTGAGCGAGGTCCTAGCACATACAGTAACCCCTTTTTGGGAAAAGCTCCCAGAGGTTAAATAACCTGCTCCAGGTCATACAGTCTGCCATGAGGTCTGGCATAAGACCCCAGGTGTGTTATACTTCAAAGCTTATGCTCTTTCTACACTTAGGGCTGCCTGGGAGGGCTGTATGGACTGTGCACTGCTCCACTCCCGGGGGAGCCCCTTCACATTTCAGTCTATGAGAGAGACCCTCTGGGGTACAGTGTAGCACTGACAAGCTGTGGTGGGTAATCTTGCCATTTTGTGTCCCTTCCCTCTCTTGTGTTTCTTCTAAGTGTGGAAGAGACAGTTTTGTAGAAGGGAAGGATGACATATTTCTTTTCTTTCCCAGTAGGACTCAGCCTCTTGGTGACCTGATGTTATGTGTTGAAAACGTCTTTACTGTTACTGCCTGCAGTGACTCCCAGGCCCTGCCTGTGCAGGAGGTTGCAGTCTACAGCCCCCTTGCGAAACCTACAACCTGCTTGGTCAGATAGCACATTTTGCCTGTTTATGGGACCTTGGTTTTCTTTCTTTCTTCTTTTTTAATTAAATCACAGCTCAAAGTAAGAAGTACATTTTATCCTGACATGGGCACACATACATATCTTAAGTACATTTAAGCACAGGACAGCAATCCTTTACTTACCATTACTTACTTTCAAAACTATTAAACTCCCAAGGAAGAAGCCAGTGCAGTGCATTTTAGACAAAAGTCTCCTGTTAATTCCTGCCTTTTGTTCCCTGTATATTTAATCACCCTCCTCTTCTCTGCTCTTTAAAAACTAACTTTAATTGTTTTATTGAGAGATAACCATACAATAAAATACATATATCTTAAAGGTTTGGTTCATGAATTTTGGTGAAGGTATAGATCTATATAGTTACTACCTATTATGGTTTGGCTCTTTTTTTTTTTTTCTTTTTTTATGGTTTGGCTCTGAATTGTCCACCAAAGGCCATGTGCTAAAGGTTCAGTCAACAGCCTGTGGCACTATTGGGAAGTAGGGGAACCTGTGAGAGGCGGAGCCTAGTGGAAGGAAGTTAGATCACTGGGGATGTGCCCTTGAAGAGGATATTGGTGCCCCTTCCTCTCTCTCTCTGCTTGCAGCTGCCATGAGCTGAGCAGTTTTGTTCTGCTGTATGTTCCCTATCACCATGTTTGCCTTGCCACAGGCCCCAAAGCAACAGAGCCAGCTGACTATGGCCTGAAACCTCTGAAACTGTGAGCCAAAACAAATCTTTCCTTCTTTTAGTTGTTTATCTCATGCATCCTCTCACAGTAGGACATTTTTATCATCCCAGAAAGTGTCTTTATGTTCTTTTCCCATCCCTACAATCGTGTTCTCATTTCTATCACTGTGGATTAATTTTGCTTGTGATTGGGAGTCATACAAATGAATGTGCATTTTTGAGTAGAATTTCTGTCACTGAACATGTTTTTGAGAGTCTGCTATATTGTTGCATATATCAGAAGTTCATTTTTAAAAAAATTAGTGTATTTATCTAGTCTCTTGTGAATGCACATTTGGTTTATTTCCAGTTTAGGACTGTTATGAATGAGTCTGCTTTTAAGATTCCTGTATAAGTCTTTGTGAATACATGTGCTCATTTCTCCTGGGTAAATATCAGGAGTGGTCATATGTTAAATATGTATAACTTTATTACAATTTGTCAAACAGATCTCCAAACAAGTGTTACCATTTATATTACCACCACAACATGACATTTCCAGTTGTTTTACTTTCTCTCCAACGTTAGACTAGACAGATGTTTTTACGTTTATTTTACTAGTCTATATTTTTTATTTTAGCTATAAAGCAATACTGTATTGTGGTCTTAATTTTTATTTCTCAGAAAAAGAATGAAGTTGAACACCTCATGTGCCTATTGGCCATCACTATATCTTCTTTTGTGAAATCTTTATGCATATGCTTTGCCTGGGTTAGTATTACTTGGTGGTGGTACTGGGGTTTGGCTTAATATCTTTTTTTTTTTTAGTCTTACTGGGGGTCAAACTCGGGGCCTCAAGCTTTCTAAGCAGGTGCTCTACCACTTGAGCCACACCCATGCCCTTCTTGCCTTGGTTACTTTTGAGGTAGGGTCTCGCATTTATGTCCAGTGCAATCTTCCTATTTATGCTCCTATTTATGCAGCTGAGATGACAGATACACGCCACCATGCCCAGCTTTTTATTGGTTGAGATGGGGGTCTCACAAACTTTTTGTCTGGGCTGGCCTTGAACCGTGATCCTCCTGATCTCTGCCTCCTGCATAGCCAGGATTACAGGCATTTAACGGCAAGTCCTCTGCCAGGAACACTTTATTTTATTTTTTTGAGTTAGGTTCACACCATGTAGTCCAGGCTGGTCTTGAACTCACTACGTAGCCCAAGGTGGGCCTGAACTTGTGATCCTCTTCCCCCAGCCTCCTGAGTACAGGGAATATAGGTGTGTGCCATCCCTCTGGTTCCTGATTTTATTAATGAATAGATTTAAAAATTTTTATAAAATACAATATATCAATATTTTTTTCCTTTTCTTTTCCTTTTTTTTTTTTTTTTTGAGTCAGGTCTCACTGACCTTGAACTCTACATCCTCCTGAATGCTAGTATTACAGTTGTGCCCCATCACACCTGGCTCTACAGCATATAGTCTATCTGGA